TCTGCTGAGTTCTCCTTTCTACCCTGGGTTGAAATCTCAGACAGAGCCCATAGCCTCTTCAGCTAGTTGTGAATTATTCAAAGTCCTCAGATCAGTTTCAGGCATGCAAAGAGCCCAGTGCAACATCATGATCAAAACTCCAGCCTCTTCAGTTTAAATGACCTCCTCCCTCCCCCAGCTCAGGCCCGTGTTGGCTTGGAAACCTCTGGAGGAGGGGAGGCGATAGGGAACTTAATAAAGGTTGTTTTTTTTTCCCCCAGCTTTCCCTGCTCTCCCTGCTCTAGCTCTTCTCCCACGCATTAGGCGTCATTTCTAACCTCTCAGGGCCCCACGTGGGAGTACGAATGTGAGAGGCGGGCAGCTCGTTAAGGGAAAGATGGCATACCTCTCCGTACCTCTGACTCCTGCAATCTGGTGTCCCCTGGGCATGGGGGATTCTTCAGACAGCTTTCTTTTTTTTTTCCGTTTTCTTTTTCCCTTTATTGAATAAGATATTACAAATGTGCCCTTATCCCCCCAATGTCCCCTCATTCCCCCAATCCTGCCCTCACCCTCACCCCCTGTTGTCCACATCCATCGCTTATGCTTATATGCATGCATATAAGTCCTTTGGTTGAACTTTCCCCCTCACCCCCACCCTCCCCTGCTTTCCCTTCGAGTTTTGAGCATCTGATTGATGCTTCTCTGTCTCTACATCTATTTTTGTTCATCGCTTTACGTTGTTGGTTATAATCCACAAATGAGTGAGAGCATGTGATATTTATCTTTCTCTGACTGGCTTATTTCACTTAGCGTAATGCTCTCCAGCTACATCCATGCTGTTGCAAATGGTAGGAGTTCCTTCCTTTTTGCAGGAGCATAGTATTCCATTGTGTAGCTGTGCCAAAGTTTTTTAATCCATTCATCTACTGATGAGCACTTAGGCTGATTCTTTTGGGGAACTTTCAGATTCCCTGGGGGCAACCACGCATCCCACCGCTAGGGGAAGCTCACAGCCTTTTCCTCGGGGTAAGGGAAAAGCTTTGGTGAGAGTTCCCTTTCTGATAACCACTGACCACCTTCCCCCAGGTACATGCTTGGTCCCAGAAAATCCTCACCCCACACTCATGGAAATGCTTCCCCTCGCCTGCATCCTGTGTTTGGAGAGTCCATGGCAGACTCTGCCTTTGAACCTCTCAGGCCTGAGCTATCAGCCAGTCTCCATGTTCCCCAGCTTTCAGGGGGCCCTGAGTCCAACCTCAGCCTGTTTGAGATGAGGGCAGGCACCCTTGGCCACTGCCCTTCACACAGCTCTGAGCGAAGAGCTTAAGGCTGCTCTGATCCTACTCAGCTGAAGCGAAGTTGTCCCGGGTACCCATTGCTATCTTTGTTGGCCCCCGTGACATCGGTGAAAACCCTGGGGGGTAAGAACTTGTCCCCCTCCACTCTTCCCTCCAGACTTGTTCAATTCACAGTGCCGCCTGGAGGATACTGCCAGTGCTTCATTCCCCTGTAGTGCCCTCCCATTACTCAACATGGAATCCAAGTCCATCTTTCCTTTTCCTCACCCTCAGTAGGTTTCCCACTGATGCCCCCTAACTCTAGGCCAGCCATCATCAGTGCCCTTGAACTGTCTTGAATGTACTATGAACTCCATCGAGAGCTGCTCTGATAATGGGTGCCCTGTCTCCCATGCCTTTAACTCCAGTTCTTCCCCCTCAGCATTGTTTTTTCACCTAACTACTGAGATGTTGTTTACGGGAAGTCCTTTGTGACAATCCTGCCACATTTTTCATCAACATTATTTAATGAATAGTCATCAGATGTATTTCGAATCTTCTACTAAAAAACTTTTTGAGTTACTTACATAATTGCTCCGTTAATAAGTATTAGTCAATTGATTGAACACAGTCCATACTTCAGGAAGCACTCTTATATTTTTAGTGCATTTCTATTGCATTTGTAAAGAATTCAAGTTAACATTGTCCTGGGAAACTGCATTTTTACTGGAATGGCCAGGGGGTTTCTCTGCTTTTAAATGAAAAAACAAAAACAAGGATGAGAGTGACCCAGTCAAGCTGAACTCTTAGCCTGAAGTCAGTAAGCACAAACACTATTCGCCAAAATCAAAAGGCAGCACGGGACAATTTTATTCATATTGTAAATGTCTTGTGATTAGACATGTTAGGAAACTGGAAAATCACTTCTTTGAGAATTCTTGAAATTGCTTCTTTGGTTACTTTGCCTCCAAGAATGTTTAATCTGAACACAATTTCAAGTTCACTGATTCAACACATTTCTTTTCACAGATAAGATCAAGACACTGAGCTGTTAGTTGACTTAGAATTGAATTAGTCAGACACCCTCTTTCAAACAATATACCACCTTTCCTCTGTCATAACACACATGAGCAATGACCAGTTTTCACTTCTATGGGTGAAACTGGGGTTGTGTTCAAAATAGGCATTTCTCAATCTTGTGAGTTGAGAGTAATGATTGTTAGTTAGTGTTCCAAATGGTACCAAAGCCTGCCTGAACATCAGGGCCAGATGGCAAGTCGGGACGTTTTGGACTTCTGGTCCTAATATGATGGAATTAGAAAACAGGCCGTTTCACACTTTAATGCCAGTGGATTTTTTTAAAAATACATTTTGATTTCAGAGAGGAAGGAAGAGGGAGAGAGAGAAACATCAATGATGAGAGAGTATCATTGATCGGCTGCCTCCTGCATGCCCCGCACTGGGAATCGAGCCTACAACCCGAGCAGTGCCCTTGAGCAGAATCGAACCTGGGACCTTCCAGTCCACAGTCCAATGCTCTATCCACTGAGCCAAACCAGCCAGGGCAATGCCAATGGATGTTTTATGTTAACTATAGTTCAGCATTCAAAGAACATTTTCCTAAGAACAGCAAGTGCAGGAACCATACAAAAGTTCAATCCCAGGTGCCATTTTGAAATTGGAAATAACTCACTTCTTGTTAGCTCCCCAGAACCACATGATTTTACATGGAGAAGGGATCAGAATCTTGTCCAAGCACCTCTTGTCATTCATAGGTGAGGAGACAAGGGCGCAGAAGAAGCAGTCCGAGCTCTGTCTCCTGTTGCCCCCTGGGCCTTCTTCCTGCTTGCTGGGGGTTTGCTGTGGGCAGAAAGGTGCTGAGTGCGGATGCCAGTCCTGTCTCTCACTCGGCCTCTGAGCCTTTTGGTGCTGTCCCTTCCCTGGTAGAATTTTGGAAGCTGCAGAGGTCATCGGCGAAGATGTGAGAGAAACATGGTCTGTCCTGGGGACAAACCTCTCTCAAGTGCCCTGGGGGTGATCCAGAGGGTTTTGTCTCCCGAGCCCAGGCTGTGAGCCCCTTAGTGGAGGGGCCCCAGGTCATCTTCCCAGTGAGGCGGGCCCAGGGTGGTGGAAGGCAGACCCAGAGGATCTGCAGAGAGATCATGGCTCCTCTTCTGGCATGTCATTCCAGATACGTTCAAAGAAACAATTTCACTTCATCTTCATAAAAGGAGGTGGTTTTTTAAAACTACATTAAAGTATTATAATAGGACCACGCAATTAAAGAAAATCATTATGTAGGAATTGCCTTGGGGCTTCTCAAGTCTGGCACAGGAAAATATTTTTACTAGAACAAACCCTTTTGCAGATTACAAAAACCGTCTCTAATGAAACATGACAATGGGTGTATTTAGAGATTAAGAGTTTCAAAAGATGATAAGGAGAAATATCAGCCCCCTCCCCTCCCCCCCCCCCCCGTTATTAATAGACACTTCCTATGTTATATAGGACAGCAGATGTTTTATAGTTAATATCCTTTACTTATTTTGTAAATTAGTTTTTTGACATATTAGATGAATACATTACTCTCTTAATAGTCCTCATTATAACTAAAGAAGCTAAAAAGGTCTTTAGCCAGTCACTTTCAAATGCTGATGCATTCATAAGTGTTCTCTGCCAGCAGTGGCAGTCAAAGAGAGGTGTGCCCAGGACTGCAGAGGTAAATGCAAGTAGAAAAACTCCCTATAGATACATATTGGTTGTTTGAGGGGGGGAGGGGGGGGGAATCAAATTCAGAAAACCATGAATTAGTTCCAGGAATGCTTAGCTATTATACAAGTTCACTATACAGTAACGTTTTAGGTATGGTTGACATCGTAAGAGCTTGTTCTTCCGTTTGCGGGGGGGGGGGGGGGGGGGGGGGGGGGGGGGGGGGGGGGGGGGGGGAATACATTCCACAAAGAAACATGATTTCTGCTCATTAAGTGTGAAAAATGATGGAGTATTTAAAATCAAACTACTTCTATAGTTAATCTAGAAGTGTTTCTAGTTTTTTTTATTATTATTAAAAAATAAGCTTGAACTTCATAAGCATTCTTGGTTTCCAGGAGAAAGCATTTTCAAATATATTGATTGGCAAACATGAGATAACAGAAACATCGATTTCTAAAAGATTTTCCATGTTCACTGCCAATCCCACTTCTGCCCATCGTTTTAGTTTTTGAAGAGTGAAGCAGTGCTGGTTTCAAGTGTTAATTGAGAGATGGGTAGTAAGAAGTCAGAAGTTTTGCTCCATTGCGAAGGAGACATAGCTCGCGGTGCTGCAGTGTAAGCCATAGAGGGATTCCTAGGAACCCAGCGGCGTTTAATGAACTGGGAACTGGGCTTTGCTAAACCAGCATTTCCACATTCGTCTAGCATTTCCTGGGTTTTGACATAAGCCATACCAACCCGGCGTGAGCAGAGGCGGTTCCCACCAATGGGGAGGCCGCTGGAAGCGTCCGCGCGTGGGAATGTCAGCAGCTTTCTCCCAGACGCCGGCCCCTGCCTGCGGCGCGCGGGGGAGAGGCTGGCCCGGGGCCGCGGTGCGTTCTGTGGCCCGGGAGTCGCCTCCCAGAACCGGCGGGCGCCGGGCCGGCGGGGGGCCGGCGGAGGCGGGGCGCCCGCCGCGGGGCTCCGGGTTGCTACAGCCGTGATGTCACTCGCCCATCCTAACCCGCGGTTGGTTGTTTTGTGTTTCAGCTCTGCCTGCAGTTGCACACAAAGACCTGGAGGAGGAAACTCCCACGTCCTCGAGGAGAAGAAAGGAGGCGGCGAGGCAGATTAAAGGAACTTGTGGCTCGGCTCGTGGCCCTTTTGCACCAGCGCTGCCTGGACCTGGACCCGGGGAAAGTGAGCGTAAAGCCACAGTGGCGGTGCATGGGCTGTGAGATGAGGCGCTGCTGCCGCCGCTGCTGCTGCTGCCGCTGCTGCTGACACTCAGGTTCCCGGGTCCGTCCGCTGCCCTTTGTGCTTCGTGTACATGTGTCTATTCAGCGCATCCGGAGGCGCCCAGCAGAGAATCCAACACGGCCGCCGGGGAGAGACCACCCACCATGCCCACGGAGACCCTACAGACAGGTAGCATGGTGAAGCCGGTCAGCCCCGCGGGCACCTTCACCTCGGCGGTGCCCCTGCGCATCCTCAACAAGGGGCCCGACTACTTCCGCAGGCAGGCGGAGCCGAACCCCAAAAGACTCAGCGCCGTCGAGAGGCTGGAGGCCGACAAGGCCAAGTATGTCAAGAGCCAGGAGGTCATCAACGCCAAGCAGGAGCCGGTGAAGCCGGCCGTGCTGGCCAAGCCCCCCGTGTGCCCCGGCGCCAAGCGCGCGCTGGGCAGCCCCACGCTCCGAGTGTTCGGCCCCAACGCCAAGACCGAGAGCGGCGTGCACAGGGAGACCCTGAAGCTCGAAATCCTGAAGAACATCATCAACAGCTCGGAAGGCTCCAGCTCCGGCTCCGGGCACAAGCACAGCTCCCGCAACTGGCCTCCGCACCGGCCCGACGCCACCGACCTGCACCGACACTCCTTCGCCGAGTCCCTGAAGGTCTACCCGACGCAGGGCCGGGGCAGCCCGCAGGAGAGCAGCTCCCACGTGGGCAGGAGGCTGCTGGAGCAGACCGCCGAGTCCTTCCTGCACGTCTCCCACAGCTCCTCGGACATCCGCAAAGTGACCAGTGTGAAGCCCCTGAAGGCGATCCCCTGCAGTAGTTCCGCCCCTCCCCTGCCCCCCAAACCCAAGGTTGCAGCCATCGCCCCCATGAAGTCCCCCGAAGCCGACCCGGCGGAGCCGGCCTGCGGAGTCAGCCGGAGACCCTCCCTCCAGCGGTCCAAGTCGGACTTGAGTGACAGGTACTTCCGCGTGGACGCAGACGTGGAGAGGTTCTTCAACTACTGCGGACTGGACCCCGAGGAGCTGGAAAACCTGGGCATGGAAAACTTTGCCAGGGCTAATTCTGACATCATATCCCTCAACTTCCGCAGTGCAAGCATGATCAGCTCGGACTGTGAACAGTCGCAGGACAGTAACAGTGACCTTAGAAACGAGGACAGTGCCAATGACCGGGTGCCATACGGCATTTCTGCGATCGAAAGGAATGCCAGGATCATCAAGTGGTTATATAGCATCAAACAAGCTAGAGAGTCCCAGAAGGTCTCCCACGTGTAAGAGACAGTGCGCGTGTGCGAAGGAGGGAGGGGGTGGGTCTCTTGTCTGTGCATCCGCCCTTGTGAAGGTCGTGAGGTCTCCTTGAAGTGTTGTGAGCTTCTCCGCTCTCTTTGTGTTGCTTGTTGTGCAATGTTTTCAAGTTGCATGCCTGTCAACATGGGGACTGACCTGGCGTCCCGGTCAACCATCGCTGCAGAGCCTGGCCGAACACACGTCACCTGCCAAAAAGTTTCAGGCCAGAATCGGATTAGGGCTTTGATCTCAAGCAAAACTGTTTACACCCGAAAAACGGTATACAACTTCTTCAATATTTATGTGGTTCTTGTGTTTTATATCCCGCGCTATTGTGTCTTAATTAAAAGTTTTATCAACTGGCTTTTAAGTGGAGAGGAGCATCTTTTTGAAACAAAAAGCCGCTTTGCCTACGTGTGACACCAAAACACGAGGGAAATAAATGGAACCTGCTAACCAAACTGATAGAGTCACTGACCTAAGATAGAGAACCAGGCTGGGTTTTCTGAGGAAAGAACGTGGTGAGCCTGATGTTAACTCCTTACATACTGCAATTCTCTTGCCCCTTGCTGAAGTAATGGTTGGGGCAACAATGCTACGTCCTGTGTCCTATTTAGTGTGTAAATAAACATTGGTGGCTCTGTGTAATACTGACCCCAAGAAAAGACAATCAGATACAATGAAGGTGATTATATCTAGGAGGTTGAATATCCTTTTTGTTGATATCCTTCTGATTTGGGTTGATTCAGAAGTTTCTACTATTAATCTTTTTACAGGAATGGCCACTCTGAAGTTGTTACTCAATGTCTTTAAATTTGGGGGGGGGGGGGTATTTTTGGTCAATAACTAAGGCCATGCTGATTCTCTTCCCTCCCTCCTTCCCTTCCTTTGTTGTTGTTTTATTTGGGAGAGAGGACAAGGAAGTGGGGCTTGTGCAGGTCTGTGCTATCTGAAGACACGAACCCACACGGAAATACCAGCCATATTAGTATCGAGCCTCCTATTCAACAGTAAACGCCTTTGGTAGCTGAATCATATCTGAGCAGTGTGGTTGTGTGGTCTTACCTATGTTATTCGCTCAGGCTCTGGGCCTTTGTTACAACCCTAGGAAACTAGAAACACGACACTATTTAGCCCCACCCCCACCCCCCACCCCCCGCCATGGTCTCTAGTGCTACATATCAACTCATTCCCTTTCCCCGCCAATAACCTGTCTTCCAGTTAGCTGTCAACCAGCTGACAGTTGTGGTGTGGTAGCAAGAGGTACACATGCAGTGGTCTGCTTCATTGCTCTTGTAGTTACGCTCCGTAATTCAGGAGCACTACCTTAGACCTTCGTCAGCTAATAAGAAACTTTTTATGGTGTAAATGCTGTAAGACTTTGTACATACTTCAGTTGTTATGAAAACTTGAAGAAAACAAAGGAAAACTTATGCTAATAAATAGCTCTGGTGCAGGCACTAATGGTGGTGGTTTCTCTTTGTACTTTCCTTTGCTCTCTCCATGGAAGTTTAACTTTGGCATGTGAGCCAGAAGCGGATTTTTGATGGTCTTCAAGAAACATTGTTTTATTACGTTATTTTCCCCATATCACAATTATTTGGAACATCAGTGTTCTTAATTGTAGCTCCAGCAATGTGCTTCTGCTTAAATAGTTGCATCAAGGCTCCTAAAAATATGCAGCCTCTTTGTTACTTAGTTCACACTTCAGTTCTTTTTATCTTTTCTTAAACAACAAGACCTTTTACATCTTCCACTAGACTCTGGAGTTGTAACTATGAATGAATTCTTACAGTGGAGATATACCTTGGAAATTTATAGCCTTGTTCTTATTTTTATACAGGCCCAACATCATTTAACATGACACGTGTTCATACATTTGTCACTCATTCATTCATTCTTTTTTCAATAGGTCACTTGTCCAGTGAGTCCCTTTTTCAGGCTTCACAATAGACACGTGACTATTGTGGTCAACAACAGAGTCTCTGCCTCAAGGAACTTAGATTTTCACATTTATTTTAAGAGAAATATTCCTCTTAGTGGAAATGTCTTCTCTCCTGTTAGGGCATTGAGTATCCAACGAATATTTATTGAATCAAATTATTTGAAGGTTAACATTTCTTCAAAATTCCATATGATATGTAAATATAAAAGGAAGTATTACTTAAAACATCATTTTCAGAAACAGAAATGATGTGATTCCCAGCTATTACTGTACATAAACATTTTCCTTCTGAAAATCAAATTTGGTTCCTTGACTCTCTCTCTCTCTACTGGTTTTGAATTCTTTCTGCTTCTCTGATTAATTTTCAGTTCCACTAGAACTGTACTTCCCAAAAGAAACATTTTGAAATTCATCTATGAGTGGTGATTATACCGTGCAATTAAGATAATGGGATGAAAATACACACACACACACACACACACACACACACTTCCTTCACCATTGGGATAGAAATGTGGCCATTTAAAATATTCAAGGCTTATTAGCATTTATATATCCATCTTTTTCTGGGGCTATTGAAATACCAAAAATAGATGTTCTTTTTCTAAGAAAACCAGTTTGTTTGGGAGCTGAGCACCTCTTTGCTAATTTAATATCTATGCCTATGCTGTTTTAGTCATAAATTCTATTGAATCTTTCAACATTTTGAAACCGCATTAAATTGTATTCCAATGGGGCTATAAATCATCCCACTATAATTCAGCCTAATATTCTGTGGCCTTGTTTTTGGTTCCCTTTATGGAAGGCAGGCACTCGTTTTCTTTTTGTTCCTGAGATTAGAGTTTCTATAAAAGACTAATTCAAATGCTTAATAGTAAATCCTAAGAGGGAGATGTTTCCTAATGGTGAAGTCTTTTAAGCAAAATGCTCATTCTATTAAAGCATGGAAGTAAGTATCGTGTGTGTGTGTGTGTGTGTGTGTGTGTGTGTGTATGTGTGTGTGTGTGTGCTGATGATGGTATGAATACAGGGTTGTGATATAGTTCAGCACACTTTCCCCCTCTACAATGCAGAGCGAAGTATGATTGCACTGGATGGCCCTGGAAACTGAGGTTTCTTTCTGAAAAAAAAAAGAAAGAAAGAAAGAAAGAAAAACACAGCAATTTTTAAGACAATTCTCCCATATGCAGCTCCTCTGCCATTGTCTTCGTTCTAACTCTCAACTTCTCTTACCTGAACTATTGTTCCTAGAACTTCCTAACTGGAAGTCTCCCTCCCCCTCAGCAAGGCTCTTCACTGCCTGTCTCATGCCAGAGATATCAAAATCAACTCTGATTATGTAAAAATGTCCTCTGTGTAAAAATATCCTCCAGCTTGAGTATTTTGCTGATAGTATAAATCCTAACTTCTTAACAAAGAATGTTGGGCACTTACCTTTCAGACCTCATCTTCTCTGTCCCCTTCAGCCACCCATCCGAGGTGCCAGGCTCCAAGCAAAGGAAGTTTCCATTGGAAACAGGTTACCACTGTGTTAATGACATTGCTGTGTAGCAAATTTCCTCAACATTCAACAACTTACAACAATAAATGTTTAGTATCTCCGTTTCTGTGGTTCAGGAACCCTGGAGTGGCTTAGCCATATGGTTCTGGCTCAGGGTGTCTCATTAGGCTGCAGACACGACATCAGCCGAGGCTGTATCATCTGAAGGCTTGGCTGGGGCTGGAGAATCTAATTTCAAGATGGTTGACTTGGTATTGGCAAGAATCCTTACAACGTGGCATCTGGCTTCCCCCAGATAGGGTGACCCGCAAGGAAGCAAGGAGGAAGTTACAATGCCTGTTGTGATCCAGTATGCTGAAGCGCACCCACCACCACATTCAGTTCATTGAGAAGTGTGTCACCAAATCAGCCTGCACTCGTGGAGGGGAGTTAGACCTCATCTTTTAAAGGAAGGAATATTCAAGAAGGTATGGACATGTTTTGCAATCACCACTGCTACTGAGGTTCAGTAGCTTTTCATTCTGTGAGGAAAGCTTTCTCTTCCCTCCTTGACCTTCAGATCCTTGTTCTTTCAAGATCCGATATAACTATCAACTGGTGAGATTATTTTGAGTTTCTATGTTGCCCTTTAGGCTAGGTAGCCTAAAAGGTGCCTTTGTGAGAATTTTTAAATGGTATGCCTTTCTCAAAAAGTTTTATTTTCTGCCAAGAAAAAAACACACCTGTCCTAGTAAATTTACAAATACCAGAGAATTATGATGTAAACTATGGCCCCAGGGTTGGGCAGTGCATAACACACAGCCCAGAGTAGATGGTCGATGCTTAAGTGTTGAGTGAATTTTTCCTAACCTATCACGTTCAAGTCCTGTGCTACTTACACTTTAAATGTTATCACAATGAACCTAAGAGGGTGGTAGTTGACCCATTTTAGAGATTATGAGCTGCAATTTCCAAGGAGATTAAGCCCTTTAACTAAGATCCCAGAGAAAGTAAGGGACAGAATGGCACTTGAGCTAAAGTCTCTGAGTCCACCTCTGCCCTCCTGCAGCCCAGCTCACAAAGAGAGGCAGACTGAGTGTTGTACTTAAGAACAGAAGTGCCCTCAAGTTCATCTTCATCTTCATGCTTTTATCTGCTGCCTGCATATGTAAACATGTCTCAGTCAGACATTCAGCAATTTCACTCTTACCTAAATGGTAGCCAATAAAAGTTAGAAAAAAGACTTGAGCTGTTCTATTAGAAGTCACATACAGCCCACTGAGTTCAAAGAGGCAAGGCTATGCATTCTTTCAGTTTTGAAAGTGCTATGTTTTGAAGCCACATCCTGCCTATTTTGATCAAGGACTTTCAGAAGGGCGAGCGGTAGAGAAGAGTGTCTGGCCACAATTCAATAATCAGGAAACACATTTGGATACTTTGGTGACTCAGCATCACTCCATTCCCCCATCCTTGAGGATTTTCATGGTGTAGTCAGACCAGAAGGTGCACCGGGGAAGGAATAAAAAAAGTAAAGCGTGCTCCGGAGGAACTGAATAGATCCTTCACTCAGGAAGGACACTGCCATATCGAACATGTCACATTCCCCCTCTGTCCTGTGCAATGACAGAGTTCCGTGGGCTCCTGCAGGGCAATCCACGAGCAGCACCGTGAGGACCACAGGCTCAGAGCCTGCACGTTCGGTTCTGAACGAGAGGGTTTCTCTCACGTGCTGAGCTCGTGCCCCCTTGCTTTGGCAGAAACCCAGAAGAAGGAAAAACCAGACAGACAAGGGCCCCCGCAGCCTTTGGAACCCCTTCTTCCAATACCTGAGACCCATCTGCATAAGAGTTTGCCTCCACTCTCTCATGTGTAAAATGGGAGCAAAGCCATTTGCTGCACGTGTCCCCTTGGTCTCGGGGCTTTGGGACAGCGCCGAGAGCTGGGTTTTGGAGCATCAGTTTGAGGTGTGAGGACATGAAAATATAGAGAAGGCTGGGTTCCTAGTGTCATGGCAGGTGGGATGCAGGCAAGGCCTGATGGGCCCAAGCAGCTCACTGAATTACGTTTTATGTGTCAGCTGCTTGAGCGTTTTAGTTGGGGGAAGAAATGAAGTCTGTAAAAGGATTCTTCTCTAAATGGAAGGGATCTCCAAAAACTTTCTTAGGTCAGAAGCAGGCAGAATTGAACGTGGCCAAGTACACACCAATGAATGTACAGTTAAGCGAATAATAATAATAATGGTAGAAGCTTTTGCTCATTGAGAATCTCACTCATTTCACATTCATGAAACAACTATCAGCATGTCTTAGATGTGATGCTAAGTTGTCACATTATCTCATGTTATTCTCATTAGAACCTTAGAAGTAAATTAGAACCCATTTGCCCATGAGGGATCTTAGGATTAAGCTGCTTCTCACAGGCACACATCCAATAAGCGGAGAAGGTAGTAAAGCACCTCTTCAGACTCATTCCATCATGAAATTTTAGCATGTAGTCTGGTGGGGGCCGTGTTTGCTCCTCTGCAGTAAGTTGTATTGCAGACCACTTCTCAGACACTTAGCACACTAGCGTGTGGACTGTATCGTGATCCTTCTATCCAGGGAGTGACTCTATAGATCCTATTTGATCACGTCAGGACTGAAGCTTCCAGGTTCTGAGAGGGGCATTAGTGATCACCTGTCCCTCTGCATGGAATTTTACAGAGGCGGAAACAGACGCAGGGAACAGAGGTGGCGGGAGTCGGCCAGGGCAGTAGAGCAGGTTGACTGCAGATGGGGGGTGGGGGGAGGAGCAGAAGAGACTGATGCTCTGAGTCCCTCGCTAAGTACTTGGTCAGGGAACTGGAACTGAGTACCACTAACCTTCCATCACAAGAAGTGGGAGCCGCTTGGTCAACAAATGCTCTGTTATTCCTATGCAGTGTTCCTTGTCTCAAAACCTATTAGTTACTTAAAGAAACTTCAACTCAGAGATGTTCTGTTAATATACATTAATTATTTTTCAATTAACCATAGCAGATAATAAAATACTTAGCAAAGATTAAGAAATTTCCCTAAAGAAGTGTTTGGAAAGTTTGGAAATGATTACCATTGTTTTAATATGATTTTTTAATCTCCAAAGTTCAAAGATACCCAATACTCCTCAAGACTTTGGGAACCATTTTTTTCTAGGCCTGATTTCTCCCCCTCCGGTGTCCCCTGGGGCAGACGTTGGGGATGGTTCCAGAATCCATTTCCCTCTCCTTCCTGACTCACCAGAGGATTGTATTTTCACACCCCGTAGTGTCAGGTTGGACAATGAACCATGAATGGAAGTGACTCATGGAACAGCTGGGAAGAGGCAAGCCAGTCCCAGATTCTGCATTTCTCCTTCTCTGATACTGCAGCGCTGACTTCCAGAGGGTAGAGCCACCATTAGGATC